CTTATGTATTATACATGGAGATCAATATCCCCCTTGATGTATTATTACATGGTGATCATATCCCCCCTTATGTATTATACATGGAGATAGATTTCCCCCTTATGTATTATACATGGGAGATCATATCCCCACCCTTATGTATTATACATGGAGTGATCATATCCCCCCTTTATGTATTATACATGGAGATCATATCCCCCTTATGTATTATACATGGTGATCTCATTATCCCCCTTAATGTATTTTTACATGGTGATCATACCCCCCTTATGTATTATACATGGAGATCATTATCCCCCCTCTTATGTATTTTACATGGAGATCATATCCCCTTTATGTATTATACATGGAGATCTTATCCCCCTTATGTATTATACATGGAGATTCATATCCCCACTTATGTATTATACATGGAGATCATATCCCCCCTTATGTATTATACATGGAGATACTAATATCCCCCCTTATGTATTATACATGGAGATACATATCCCCCCTTTATGTATTATACATGGAGATCAGATCCTCCCCTTATGTATTTATACATGGAGATCATATCCCCCCTTATGTATTATGTCTTACATGGTGAATCATATCCCCCCCCCTCTTATGTATTATACATGGGAGATCATATCCCCCCTTATGTATTATACATGGTAGATCTTATCCCCCTTATGTATTATACATGGAGATCATATCCCCCTTATGTATTTTACATGGAGATCATATCCCCCCTTATGTATTATACATGGTGATCATATCCCCCCTTATGTTTATATCATGGAGATCATATCCCCCATTATGAATTATACATGGAGATCATATCCCCATCCTTATGTAGTATACTTGAGAGATCACTATATCCCCCCTTATGTATTATACATGGAGATCATAACTCCCCCCCTTTATGTATAGTATACATGGAGATCATATACCCACTTATGTATTAGACATGGGTGATCATATCCCCCTTATGTATTATACATGGAGGATCATATCCCCCCCTTAAATTGGTATTATACATGGAGATCATATCCCCCCTTATGTATTATTACATGGAGATCATGATCCCCACTTATGTATTATTACATGGAGATCATACCCCCCCCTTATGTATTATACATGGAGATCATATCCACCCTTATGTATTATACATGGAGATCATATCACCCCTTATGTATTATTACATGGAGAGATCATATCCCCCCTTATGTATTATGAACATGAGATCATATCCCCACTTATTGTATTATACATGGAGATCATATCCCCCCTTATATGTATTATACATGGAGATTCTTATCCCCATTATGTGTATTATACATGGAGATAATCATATTAAATCCCCCCCTTATGTATTTATACATGGAAATCATATCCCCCGTATGTTATTATACATGGAGATCCTATCCCCCCCTTATGTAGCTGTTACGCCATGGTGATCATATCCCCCATTTATGTATTATACATGGTAGAATCTTATCCCCCTTATGTATTTATACATGGAGTAGATCATATCCTCACCCTTATGTATTATGACATTGGAGATCAGACTCCCCCCCCCCCCCCTTATGTATGTGATACATTGGAGATCATATCCCCCCACTTATTTATTATACATGGAGATCATACCCCCGTATGTATTATACATGGAGATCATATCACCCCTTAATGTATTATGACTATGGAAATTTCATATCCCCTTTATGTTATTAATACCATGGTGATCATATACCCCCCTTTTGTATTGATACATGGTGATCATAATCACTCCTCATTATGTATTATACATGGAGATCATATTCCCCCCGTTATGTATTATACATTGGTTGATCATATCCCCACTTATTGTATTATACCTGGAGGACCAGATCCCCCCTTATGTATATATACATGGTGATCATTATCCCCCCATTATGTATTATAACATTGGTTATTCTTTTCCCCCCTTATGTAGTATACATGGTGATCATATCCCCCCTGTATGTATTTATTCATGGAGATCATATCCCCCGGATGTATTTCTACATGGAGATCATATACCCCTTAATCTCCTCTTCTATCAGTATAAGAGGAATACATACAGTTCCTCTAATCTTTCCTCATAGCTGATCTCCTCCTATGCCTCTTATCAGTTTGGTTGGCACTTCTCTGCACTTTCTCCAGTTCAACCACCAATGGTTCTTTTTGTGAATTTGGTGCCCCCAAAACTGAACGTGCATATTCCCAGATGAGGTTCTTACTAATGATCACGTGTTACCGGGTGGTAGGGGCGGGGATGGGGGCGAGGCTATGGATATCTCTCTATCTGGAGAGATATCATAGCGGATAAAAATTAGACGAATCCTGGTATGAATAAACAGATCTAAAAAACGGATGTTAAAATTATGGAAAAATGGGATGATAATACAAAATGAAAAGAAGACGGATGTAATTGGATCGAATAAACGGATGTTATAACTCATCCTTTTTCTTTGAAAAAAAACGAGTGAACTTCTTTAACAGAAGAAAAAAAAAAGGAATTGCCCGTGTGAAAGGACCCTTAATCTAATCTGCTATCCTGGTAGAGGAGGAAGGTTTTCGGCTCCACGGGGTTTTGTGGTACTTCACTCAGACACATGAAATTGTAATGACTTGACTTACTTGGTACTTCGATGTAAACGGATGTAAAAACGATCTAAACGGACCATGAACAATGGATGGAAACTAATAATGAAACGGATGAAATAAACACTGATGAAAAAAACGGATGCAAATAGGATGAAAAAACGAATGATGAAAAAGGATGAAAAAATGAATGTTAAAACCAGATGGAAACGGGGATGAAAAAACAGTTGTAAATATCCCCCTTATGTGTTATACATGGTGATCAATATCCCCCTTTTGTGTTTACATGGTGATCATATCCCCCCTTATGTATTATACATGGATAGATCATATCCCCCCTTTATGTATTATACTGGTGATCATATCCCCCTTATGTATTATACATGGTGTCATATCCCCCCTTTATGTATTTTACATGGAGATATATCCCCCCTTATGTAATTATACATGGTGATCATATCCCCCCCTTATGTATTTATACATGGAGATCATATCCCCCCTTATTATGTATTATACATGGAGATCATATCCCCCCTTATGTATTTATACACGGAGATCATATCCCCCATTATGTATTATACATGGAGGATTCATATCCCCCCTTATGTATTTTATACATGGAGATCACATGCCCCCTGATGTATTATAACTTGGAGAGATCATATCCCCCCTTATGTACTTATACATGGTGATCATTATCCCCCCTTATGTATTATTACATGGTGATCAGTATCCCCTTATGTATGATTCATGGTGATTCTTATCCCCCCTTATGTATTATACATGGAGATCATTATCCCCTTATGTATTATACATGGGTGATCATTGATCCCCCTTATGTATTAGTACATGGAGATCAATATCCCCCCTTATGTATTAGTACATGGAGATCACATCCCCCCTTATGTATTATACATGGAGATCATATCCCCCCTTATGTATTATACATGGTGGAGATCATTCATCCCCCCTTATGTATTATTCATGGAGGATCAATATCCCCTCTTATTGTATTTTACATGGAGATCATATCCCCCTTATGTATTCATACATGGTGATTCATATCCCCCCTTATGTATTTTACTATGGAGATCATATTCCCCCCTTATGTATTATACATGGAGATCATATCCCCCTTATGTATTATACATGGAGATCATATCCCCCCTTATGTATTATGAACATGGTGATCATATCCCCTTATGTATTATAACACGGAGATCACATCATCCCCCCCTTATGTATTTTACATGGAGATCACATCCCCCTTATGTATTTATACATGGTGATCATATCCCCCTTATGGTATTATACATGGAGATCATATCCCCCCTTATGTATTATACATGGAGATTATTTCCCCCCCTTATGTATTATACATGGAGATCATATCCCCCTTATGTATTATATACAATGGAGATCATATATCCCCCCTTAATCTCCTCTTCTCAGTAGAGAATACATTCAGTTCCTCTAATCTTTCCTCATAGCTGATCTCCTCCATGCCTCTTATCAGTTTTGGTTGCCCTTCTCTGCACTTTCTCCAGTTCCCCAATGTTCTTTTTGTGATTGGAGCCCAAAACTGAACTGCATATTCCAGATGAGGTATTACTAATGATTTGTACCAGGGGATGGTAGGGGGGGGGGAGGGGGGAGACTAAGACTATGATAGCTCTCCTCTCTGGAGAGATATCATAGCGGATGAAAATAGACGAATCCGGATGAAAAAAACAGATCTAAAAAAAACGGATGTAAAATTATGAAAAATGGATTGAAAATACAAATGAAAAAACGGATGTAAATGGATGAATAAAATCGGATGTAAACTCATCCTTTTTCTTTGAAAAAAAACGTTGACTTAACAGAGAAAAAAAAAAGGAATGCCCGTGTGAAAGGACCCTTAAATCTAATCTGCTTACCTGTAGAGGAGGAATGTATTGGCACCACGGGTTTTGTGACTTCACAAGACACATGAAATTGTAAGACTTGACTTACTTGGTACTCGGATGTAAACGGATGAAAAACGGATGAAAAAAAACAGATGAAAAAAAACGGGATCTAAACGGTGATGAACAATGGATTGAAACCAATATAAAACGGATGAAAAAAACACAGATGAAAAAATGGATGCAAAATGGATGAAAAAAGAGGATGAAAAAACATGAAAAAAAACTTGATGGAAACGGATGATGAAAAAATAGATTTAAATGGATGAAAAACGGATGAAAAAAAAACAGATGTAAATGGATGAGATAAATACGGATGTAAACAGATGAATAAAATGGATGTAAACGGATGAATATAATGGATGTAAACTCATCCCTTTTTCTTTGAAAATAACGTGACTGAGCTGAAGAAAAAAAACCCGGAACGCCCGTGTGAAATGGACCCGTTAATCTAAACTGCTAACCTGTAGAGGAGAATATTTGGGTTACCACAGGTTTTGTGACCTCTTCACAGACACATAAAATTGTAAGACTTGACTTGCTTGGTACTCGGATGTAAACGGATATGAAAAACCAGATGAAAAAAAAACGGATCTAAAGGGTTTATGAACAATGGATGGAAACAGCGGCAAGACTGACAATTTGGAAACTCGGGCACTGCCCGAGGGCCCAGAGTCAGTTGAGAGGGCCCCATGAGATAGCCCTGGTACCTTTTTCATAGGCTTTTTTGAGTTTGGGCAAGGACACAGGGGCCCCCATGATCCGCAATTGCCCGGGGGCCCCATGAGTTGTCAGTCCACCCCTGGATGGAAACCAATATAAACGGATAAAAAAAACAGATGAAAAAAAAATACTAATAAAAAACTGATGAAAAAAACTGATGAAAAAAAACATGAAAAAAAACGGATGCAAACTGATGAAAAAAGAGATGTAAATGGATGAATATAACGGATGAATAAACAGATGTGTAAACGGATGAATAAAATGGATGTATACTCATCCTTTTTCTTTGAAAAAACGTGACTGAGCTGATGAAAAAAACCCCGTAACGCCCGTGTGAAAGGACCCTTAATCTAAACTGCTAACCTGTAGAGGAGAATGTTTGGCACCGCAGGTTTTGTGACTTCACAGACACATGAAATTGTAAGACTTGACTTGCTTGGTACTCGGATGTAAACGGATGAAAAAACAGATGAAAAAAACAGATGAAAAAACTGATCTAAACGGATAAACAATGGATTGAAAACCAATATAAACAGATGAAAAAAGCGGATGCAAACGGATGAAAAAACGAATGAAAAAAAGGATGAAAAAAACTGATGAAAAAAACGGATGAAAAAACAGATGTAAATGGATGAATAAATGGATGTAAACGGATAATATAAATGGATGTAAAAACTCATCCTTTTTCTTTGAAAAAAAAATCGTGACTGAGCTGAAGAAAAAAAACCCGGAACGCCCGTGTGAAAGGACCTTAATCTAAACTGCTAACCTGTAGAGGAGAGTTTTTTGGTACCACAGGTTTTGTGACTTCACAGACACATGAAATTGTAAGACTTGACTTGCTTGGTACTTCGATGTAAACGGATGAAAAACGGATCTAAAAACGGTTGGTATGAACAATGGATGGAAATAATAGAAACGGATGAAAAAACAGATGAAAAAAACGGATGCAAATAGATGAAAAAACGAATGAAAAAAGGATGAAAAAATGAATGAAAAAACCAGATGGGAAACGGAAATGAAGAAACAGTTGTAAATATCCCCTTATGTGTTATACATGGTGATCATATCCCCCCCTTATGTATTATACATGGAGATCATATCCCCCCTTATGTATTATACATGGAGATCATATCCCCCTTATGTATTATACATGGTGATCATATCCCCCTTATGTATTTATACATGGAGATCATATCCCCCTTATGTATTATACATGGAGATCATATCCCCCTTATGTATTATACATGGAGATCATATCCCCCCTTAATCTCCTCTTCTCAGTAGAGAATACATTCAGTTCCTCTAATCTTTCCTCATAGCTGATCTCCTCCATGCCTCTTATCAGTTTGGTTGCCCTTCTCTGCACTTTCTCCCAGTTCCCCAAATGTTCTTTTTGTGAATTGGAGCCCAAAACTCTGAACTGCATATTCCAGATGAGGTATTACTAATGATTTGTACGGGGGAGGGGAGGGGGGAGGGGGGAGGCTATGATATATCTCTCTCTCTGGAGAGATATATCATAGCGGATGAAAATAGACGAATCCGGATGAAAAAACAGATCTAAAAAACGGATGTAAAATTATGAAAAATGGATGAAAATACAAATGAAAAAACGGATGTAAATGGATGAATAAAACGGATGTAAAACTCATCCTTTTTCTTTGAAAATAAACGTGACTTAACAGAAGAAAAAAAAAAGGAATGCCCGTGTGAAAGGACCCTTAATCTAATCTGCTAACCTGTAGAGGAGAATGATTGGCACCACGGGTTTTGTGACTTCACAAGACACATGAAATTGTAAGACTTGACTTACTTGGTACTCGGATGTAAACGGATGAAAAACGGATGAAAAAACAGATGAAAAAAAAACGGATCTAAACGGATGAACAATGGATTGAAACCATATATAAACGGATGAAAAAACAGATGAAAAAAATGGATGCAAATGGATGAAAAAACTGATGAAAAAAACATGAAAAAAAACTGATGGAAACGGATGAAAAAATAGATTTAAAATGGATGAAAAACGGTATGAAAAAACAAGATGTAAATGGATGAATAAAACGGATGTTAAACAGATGAATGTAAATGGATGTAAACGGATGAATAAATGGATGTAAAAACTCATCCTTTTTCTTTGAAAAAACGTGACTGAGCTGAAGAAAAAAACCCGGAACGCCCGTGTGAAAGGACCCTTAATCTAAACTGCTAACCTGTAGAGGAGAATATTTGGTACCACAGGTTTTGTGACTTCACAGACACATAAAATTGTAAGACTTGACTTGCTTGGTACTCGGATGTAAACGGATGAAAAACCAGATGAAAAAAAGGATCTAAACGGGTCGTATGAACAATGGATGGAAACAGCGGCAGACTGACCATTTGGAAACTCGGGCACTGCCTGAGGGCCCAGAGTCAGTAGAGGGCCCCTATGAGATAGCCCTGGTACCTTTTTCATAGGCTTTTTTGAGTTTGGGCAAGGACACAGGGGCCCCATGATCCGCAATTGCCCGGGGGCCCCATGAGTTGTCAGTCCACCCCTGGATGGAAACCAATATAAACGGATATGAAAAAACAGATGAAAAAAAAACTAATAAAAAACTGATGAAAAAACTGATGAAAAAACATGAAAAAAAAAAACGGATGCAAACAGATGAAAAAAGAGATGTAAATGGATGAATAAACGGATGAATAAATGGATGTAAACGGATGAATAAATGGATGTAAACTCATCCTTTTTCTTTGAAAAAACGTGGACTGAGCTGATGAAAAAAAAAACCCGGAACGCCCGTGTGAAAGGACCCTTAATCTAATCTGCTAACCTGTAGAGGAGAATGTTTGGCACCACGGGTTTTGTGACTTCACATACACATGAAATTGTAAGACTTGACTTGCTTGGTACTCGGATGTAAACGGATGAAAAACAGATGAAAAAACAGATGAAAAAACGGATCTAAACGGATAAACAATGGATTGAAACCAATATAAACAGATGAAAAAAGCGGATGCAAACGGATGAAAAAACGAATGAAAAACGGATGAAAAAACTGATGAAAAACGGATGAAAAAAACAGATGTAAATGGATGAATAAATGGATGTAAACGGATAAATAAATGGATGTAAACTCATCCTTTTTCTTTGAAAAAATGTGACTGAGCTGAAGAAAAAAACCCGGAACGCCCGTGTGAAAGGACCCTTAATCTAAACTGCTAACCTGTAGAGGAGAGTTTTGGTACCACAGGTTTTTGTGACTTCACAGACACATGAAATTGTAAGACTTGACTTGCTTGGTACTTCGATGTAAACGGATGAAAAACGGATCTAAACGGATGAAACAATGGATGGAAACCAATAGAAACGGATGAAAAAAACAGATGAAAAAAAAACGGATGCAAATAGATGAAAAAACTAATGAAAAAGGATGAAAAAATGAATGAAAAAAACATGAAAAAACCAGATGGAAACGGATGAAAAAACAGTTGTAAATGGATGAATAAAGGATGTAAACGGATGAATAAACGGATGTAAACGGATGAATAAATGGATGTAAACGGATGAATAAATGGATGTAAACGGATGAATAAATGGATGTAAACTCATCCTTTTTCTTTGAAAAAACGTGACTGAGCTGAAGAAAAAAAACCCGTAGAGGAGAATGTTTGGCACCGCAGGTTTTGTGACTTCACAGACACATGAAATTGTAAGACTTGACTTGTTCGGTACTCGACACAACCCCATCTTTTATATTTTACCAAATTTTACCAAAAATATAAAGTCTATTATTCTGTTTGTTTGCACTAAAATGCATTTTAAATGTATGTTTTAATTTGCAGTTGATGAATAGCTGCGCAGATATGGTGTGTGACAGAAAAAAAATTGCACCTGCCACCGTTTTATTCTCCAGGGTCTCTGCTTTCAGAAATTGTACAATTTTCTCGGCGGTTTTAAATCATTTCTAGCACAAAAATGCAGATTTCTAACTGTAGACGTGTGGTTGAGGCGACTGTACGCAGTGATTTGTGATCGATTTGCAGGTCGTAAACAAGCAATTCATCATCAGTCATAATATAGAAGAACGTAGCACACGCGGCATTGTTCTGCATTATGTAATTGGCTGAAAATATTGATCAAAAACTCGACTGATAGTTGGTGGATGTATACAATTCATTAAAATGGTTTATTTAGTCCTGAGAATGTCAACTCACCAGATACAGAGAGTCTCCACTGTGACCCCTGACATCTCCAAGGGGACGTATTTAATATTCAGTATAGGCAACGCTGCAGAAGACTATCCAAGACCACAGAAATACTAGGAAGCGGTGATAAATATGGACATGCTACGAGCAGCGGCGGACTGACAACCCCGGGCAATAGGGGATCATGGGGCCCCTGTGTCCTTGCCCAAACTCAAAAAAGCCTATGAAAAAGGTACCAGGGGCATCTCATGGGGCCCCCCACTGATCCCGGGCCCTCGGGCAGTGCCTGAGTTTCCAAATGGTAAGTCCGCCCCTGGCTTACAGAGATAGCGACTGGGGCCATGTTACATGAGACTGGAAGGCTGCTGGCCACCATCCCATGGAATTCCCTGCCTCACGGCCACACATAACAGAGGAGTGGGGACGCTGGTGACATCATTGACCTAACATGGACATATTTGGTCATTGGCACTGATGAGGAATTCCCTGCCCCACAGTCACACGAAACAGAGGGACGGGGACACTGGTGACATCATTGACCTAACATGGACATATTTGGTCATTGGCACTGCTGAGGAATTCCCTGCCCCACAGTCACACGAAACAGAGGGACGGGGACACTGGTGACATCATTGACCTAACATGGACATATTTGGTCATTGGCACTGCTGAGGAATTCCCTGCCCCACAGTCACACGAAACAGAGGGACGGGGACACTGGTGACATCATTGACCTAACATGGACATATTTGGTCATTGGCACTGCTGAGGAATTCCCTGCCCCGCAGTCACACGAAACAGAGGGACGGGGAGTGACATCATTGAAACATGGACATATTTGGTCATTGGCACTGCTGAGGAATTCCCTGCCCCACAGTGAAACAGAGGGACGGGGACATGGTGATTTGACCTAACATGGACATATTTGGTCATTGGCACTGCTGAGGAATTTTCTGCCCCGCAGTCACATGAAACAAAGGAATGGGGACACTGGTGACATTATTGACCTAACATGGACATATTTGGTCACTGGCACTGCTGAGGAATTCCCTGCCCCGCAGTCACACGAAACAAAGGAACAGGGACACTGGTGACATCATTGACCTAACATGGACATATTTGGTCATTGGCACTGCTGAGGAATTCCCTGCCCCGCAGTCACACGAAACAAAGGAATGGGGGACACCGGTGACATCATTGACCTAACATGGACATATTTGGTCATTGGCACTGATGAGGAATTCCCTGCTCCTCGCACAACCTCCTGCTCTCTAGCTCCCTTGTCTCCTCCTCCCACGCTCGTTTCCAGGACTTCTCCAGAGCCTCCACCATTCTTTGGAACTCTCTACCAAAATCTATCAGACTGTCGCCTACTCTGCCCACTTTATAGGCGATCTCTGAAAACCTATCTCATCAGGGAAGGCTATCCTGCCCTCAGCTAATAATGGAATCTTCTATTTCTCCTACCAGTCCATCCCCCACAGTTGTTACCTTTTGTACCACTAGCCCCTCCCTCTTAGATTGTAAGCTCCCAGGATCAGGGCCCTCCTATCCCTCTTGTATTGAAATGTATTGTTGCTGTATTGTCTCCTGTTATATTGTAAAGCGCTGAGCAAACTGTTGGCGCTATAAATCCTGTATAATAATAATAATAATATAAATCCTGTATAATAATAATAATATATAAATCCTGTATATAATAATAATATATAAATCCTGTATAATAATAATGTGGCAAAAAAAAAAAGATTTTTATCCAAGGCAGACCCCTGCCCCATATACTTGTTGGTAGCTGTAAAGGTGATTGTACAATGAGATTGTAATGTTCCTGGTCAGAGTAAGATTTATGCAAGGCCAGCGGCATCTGAATAAAAAAAAGATTTGTAAAAATGTACTTTTTAATACTAAAAAAAAAATAATAACACATAATAACAGAGGAAGCATGCAAAAAAACAAAAAATCATGTTACGTCTGCTACAGTGGAAACCCCTCCTGAGCTGTAATCCTCTGCAAAGGGCTGCCGTACTTCATGCAGACATGATGCAAAATTAATATAGAAAGGCGCAGAATGACAGCAACCATAAATGAAGAGACAGCAGGAGGTTGGGCTGGAGATACGCAGAGCAGATGAGACCACCAGAGGGACGCCCAGTGGAAAGCGAGCGAGCCGAACGAGGCGTGGAGCAGATTATTCGTTATTACAGTGCAAAAGAGCAGCGGTGATTTGCACAGTCGTTTAGCAGCCTGTGTCAGCCAATAGGATTTCACACCACTGCTGTCCTACGGAGGGCGATTCCTGGTTGCTATTGGTTACTGCACTCTGCCTTATCAATGTTCTCGGTCTAAAGTGCTGATTTCTAAGTGCAATATATCTAGATAACCAATCAGGATCCATTTTTTTGTATTGGTCTGACTTCAGCAGAGTGCATTTTGATTGGCTGCTGTTGGTTTAATCCACTCAAGAATAAGATCTCTGCTTTGATTGGTTGGTTGCTGTGGATTACTGCCTGGTTGAAGGGTCTGTCCTATCAGAATGGTTGCTTTGACCATGGACAGGTGCTAGTAGTCCAAACTGAATGCAAGACTTAACAGTTTATATAGTGTATGGGTGACCTGGGCAGAGACATAAGTACATGATCCCCCCCCCCCCCCTTATTAAAGAGAGGAAGAGATCGAGAGAGGGAGAGAGAGGAGATAGAATAGAGAGAAAATGGAGAGATAGAGGAGAGAGAAGAGAGAGATGGAGGGATAGAGGAGAGAGAAGAGAGAGATGGAGGGATAGAGGAGAGAGAAGAGAGAGATGGAGGGATAGAGGAGAGAGAAGAGAGAGAGAGGGATAGAGGAGAGAGGGAGGAGGGATAGAGGAGAGAGAGGATGGAGGGATAGAAGAGAGAGAGAGAGATGAGATGGAGGGATAGAGGAGAGAGATGGAGGGATAGAGGAAGAGAAGGGAGAGAAAAAGATAGAGGAAAGAGAAAAAGGGAAAGAGGAAAGAGAGATGGAGGGATAAGAAAGAGAGAAGGAATAGAGAGGAATGGAGAGAAGAGGAAAGATGGAGGAGATAGAAGAAAAAGAGAGATGGAGGGAAGAGGAAAGAGAAATGGAGGGAGAGAGAAGAGAAAGGAGAGAGAAGAAAAGAGAGAAAAAGAGATGAAAAAGAAAGAGAAAAAAAAAAGAAAAAAGAGAGAAAAAAGAGAAGAAAAAGAAAAAGAGAAGAGAAAAAGAGAGAAAGAGAGGAAAGAGAGAGAGAGAGAGAAAAAAGAAAAAAAAGGGAGAGAGAGAGAGAAAGGGAAGAAAGAGGAGAGAGAAGGGAAAGAAAAAGAAAA